CTCTGAGTTCAGGATCATCATTTAATCTAATCAAAAGCCCATAAAGTAGGTTTTTTTTATTTTGAGATGGAGTCTCGCTCTGCCACCCAGGCTGGAGTGCAGTGGCGCGATCTCGGCTCACTGCAGCCTCCGCCTCCTGGGTTCAAACAATTTTCCTGTCTCTGCCTCCCGAGTAGCTGGGTTTACAAGTGCACACCACCACACTTGGCTAATTTTTTGCATTTTAGTTTGGGGTTTCACTGTGTTGCCCAGGCTAGTCTCGAACTCCTGAGCTCAGGCAATCCTCCCACCTCGGCCTCCCAAAGTGCTGGGATTACAGGCATGAGCCCCCGCACCCAGCCTAAAGTAGGTATTATTATTATTACTGTTTTATAGGTGAGAAACCAAGATTCAGAGACCTTAAGAAACACCTAGTTAGAGGCAGATATAGAATTCAAATGCAGATGTTTTTGGGACCAAAGTCTGTGCCTTTTCTATTTCGCTAAGTTTATCATGACAGTATTCTAAGACAGTATACTACTGGAGATGTAAAGAGAAATAGACATTTCCCCTGCCTTCCAGGAGTACATGCTCAAAATAGTGGAGAAAACATATTCACATGGAAATTATTACTACAAAAAGATCATATTCTATTATATGTCTTGAGAAGTGCCCATAAAAGGCTGGCAAGGCTTCAAATTAAGACTCTTCTTACTGAATCTACAGGGAGACCTTCCAGAAATATTATTTAAGCATTAAAATCACATCTTTTAAAATGACAACATTTTACTAATGTTCATCCCAGATAAGTAGGATTTGGGGTATATTATTTTACAGGGGGAAAAATACATGCCTTTTATGGATTGTTTTCCTTTTGTTAAAGAATCATACATGAAATGGGATTGGCCAAAATGTACATTTTAACCCTATATGCTTTTTATTCATTTAAGAAACATTATTGAGTAGTAGGCATGTGAGATTTAAGAAACTCAGAGCATCATTTCTGTTCTCAGGGAGCTTACAGTCTATTATGCAGCCTTATTATGAAATGCAGAAGAAGGAAAGAAGAGAGGAGGGCTCAGACAGGCAAAAGCTTGGTTACAGATTGTTCATCTCTGACTATATAAAACACATAACCAAAGGTGTAACCATATATTCAGTGTCATTGTACTGGCCATCCTTCTCTGAAGGATGACCACACAGATCGATTTAGTCTCTTATTTCTTAGATTTTGACTCATTTTTCATTGTGATGAGATTGTCTAATAGATTCTGAAATAAGAGACAAGGAATCTGTGGACTGAAAGTGAGTTTTGTTTTGTTTTGTTTTGTTTCCTTTTCTTGCATTCCTATGTAACTCCTATATACTTCCTTAAAATAGATATTGCAATATGATTTCTTCTTGGTGTCATAAAAATTATTTCGGGTGAAATGATAAAAGTTGTAGAAAGTGTTAAAAACTCTAAATACTGTGTTAGAAGATTTTTCTGTAGAAGACTTTCATTGACCTGTGCTTGATGATAAACAATTTTGTAGGTATTTCCTAACTGAACAAATTACTTCTGACTCCCAAATTATCCGTGTTTAAAAGGGATAATTAAATTTCAAATGTTTGGAGACATTTTTATGTTTTCTGCATGTTATCTGAATGATAAGGTACCTTGGAAAATGAGAAACAGTCTTTTAAAAGAAACGCTGTAATCATACATTGATTTTAAATGACCCTGTCACACGTGAAAACAAATCAGATTGTTGCTCTTAATGAGCTTTTCAATTTACTATTCAGTAGATCAGATAAGTGGATTTAAGAGGTAATGATCCTGTTTAGTACTCAAGCTTGACTGTCAGATCCTAGTAGTGGAGAGAAATCCCCAAGGACAAAAGCGTTGACACAGTTCTAGATGGGATAATGGGAATCAAAGCTAATGGATGATAAAAGGAATGGTGCAAGTTACAAGGATAATTGTGGATTAAAGCACTGCCATGTGTCAATGTTGACTGTTTTTCTAGTATATTATTGGGTCAGATCTGATGCTTTGAGAAACTGTTTTGACAGCAGAACACAACAGACCTGCCTGCCTAGCTTCCTCCTCTTTTGAATGCCAGGGACACGATAGGAAAACTTCCTTAGGACCCATTGAATTAGAAAGCACATTTTTTAATGTTAAAATGTTCGAAATGTTTAAAATCACATTTTAAAATAAATAATAAAATGATTAAAACAAAAATTATATTATTTCTGAGTTTTGCCATAAAAATAGGCATTTATAATGTCTTGAAAATGTAAAATTTGATTTTATAAAAGTCCACTGTAGTTATGTTATCAAAAACAAGAAAATTAACCAGTAAAGATATAAATACAATAAGAAGAAAATAAGTGATTTGAGATAATGCCATGACCACATGCTTTCCAAAACCAGTATGTCATGGAATTTATTATTAATTTCATTTATCTATAAAAATGATCCTGTATACCATCAAAGAATTTGTGCTTTGAGTTGTAGTTTAAACATACTCATTCATACTTTCATCTTTGTTAAACAAACGTGCCTTTTAAATTCCAGTCAGAGTTAAGGGCACACAGTCTCTGGCCCTGGAACTGAGCAAGTGGGCAAAGCAGGGCACACAGTAGGGTGTCTGATCCCTACTGTTAGTTGATTTTATAAAACTGGCCTTATTTTAAGGATTGCTTTTGACAAGGGTGCCACTAAAATAAAATTAAAGACAATTGCTATAATCAGTTACTAAATATTCAAGCTGTTCTCTCTAGCTACTTTTCTTTTTCTGTTGTAATTTATGATTCTATGTATTTTGTCCATAGAATCCAATATATGCTTAATGGGAAAAGTCATTTTTCTTTCTTTGTGTAATATTCACATTATAAAATAGTCCTAGTAGATCCAGACCGTGTCTTTTGCCGCTGCACATTAAAAACACATCGTATTCACTTGACAAATATTGCCTTAGGTGCGATATTAGGGACACAGAGAATAAGGCATAGTGTCACCCCTCAAGAAGCACTCAGTGTAATGAGGGAAATTGACATTCAAACAGTTACAGTGTGAAAAGTGCCATGATAGAGGAGTGGACTGGATGTTGTGGGAACATAAAGGAGAGTTCAAATCACTGTGCCTAGGAAGGCTTCAGAGGAGAGACTTTTGAATGAGTATGAGGGGAAAAAGAGGAAGAAGGCTGATTGAGGCAAAATGACCAGCACATGAACATATAAAAATCTGAAATTGCATGAGATGCCTCAGTGATCCATCAGCATTTTATTGTGGCTTGAGGTTGAGGGAAATGTGGAAGATGAAGTAGGTTGAGGCCAAGTTGTCAAATGCTTTGTGTGCCATTAATCATGTGGATACCAGGTTTTCCAAGGGACCCAATATGTATACTTCTGTATATGCGAGAGGTTTTGCATCGTGGTGAGCTTAGGGAAACTTTCCATTCAACATATCATTCTTCATTTGAGCCCTCTTTGTGCCTAAAGGTTTGTGATTATTGAGGATTGTTGGTAACTAACTTCTCTAGATTCTCTCTCCTTAGCTCCCTCTTTCCCCCAAACATCTTACAAGCAACAATGGTCACTTCAATCTAGTAAGAGATGAAGTCCTACTCTCATGGGCAAAGCCACAGACATATAAGCATTGAAATGCTTTTCTCTAGGGCTCAGAAGTTAGTAGGTAAGGCAGCAGGAATTTGAATCTCAATCTCTCTCTCCCTCTCTCTCTCTCTCTCCCCCCCCCCCCCCCCAGCTTCTCCCCACCATTCAGCCCCTCCTTCCTTCTGTCACCCTTTACACCTAACCCCTCCTTCTCTCCCTCTTTTTCTCTCCCTCTGATTGACTCCATCAGCCTGAGGAGAAGCCTTCCGGACACAGGACTCAGGTTGAAAGTCTGGAACACAACCTGCTGGTTCAAATGGTGTTTAAAATCCAGAAAAGAAATTTCTACAATGGCAGCTTTCCTCCCCTTTATGACCCTATAGCTCTGGGTGATTTGTGTTGCCCCTGTGATTTTTATCTTACCTTCATGACCTATGGCGGTGTATCAAACTGGTTTTCAGATATTAAAAAAAAACAAAAGACAGAGGGAGTAGAAGCTATGTTGCTGTACATAAGAAATAGGCAGATTAGGAGAAAGTGAGAGAACACAATCACAGAGGATCAAATCACAGAAGAGAAATCCCATACAGCTGGTGTCTGGCAGGAATAACCTGGAATCACACCAGAGCATCAGGGAGTATGGAGGTGTCAACCCACCTCTCAGCTTTGCCAGGCTAGTAAGGAGTATAAGTGGCATTTTCCCACTTGAAGTGGGATATGTGTTTATAAGCTCAATGTGGCTTGGATTGAGACTGAAATGTTGCACCCCAAACTCTGCAACCAACACTCCCTAATTGGAAGCTTAGTGGATTCCCAGGCCCTGATGTTTTCAACAGAGAATCCCTGAGCTTGGGATTTCAGTGTCAGCATGAAAAGTAAGACCTACCTGTATATTTGGGGAAGCTTAATTAGGTAATATTTGAGGAGAATTTCTCTTAAGTTCTTTAACTTCCTTTGATTTTTTAAAATCCTTATTTTTATAACTGCCTTAAATAATCCTGAAATGGTTAATACTTTGCTGAAATCTAGAATAGGTGGAAAATGTTTAAGTTTTGGAGCCTTTTGTTGAAGTACTCTACTTTCCAGCCCTTTGCATACTTACTCCTGTCTTCTAGAAAGGGGTGGTCTACCACTTTGAGAAAAAAAAATGTATGTGGTGTGGTGGGAGTAAAATGGATATATGGGTGTGTTTGTGTGTAAGCGTTTATATATTTCAAAATAGGAGCGGTCTGGAGGAAAAAGTTAGCAAATTTTAAAATTATAAGATTCTTTTTAAAAAATTCATTTGCTCCCCCACCCACTCCCTACTTCAATGTGGATACAACAGTGCATTAAATCTTATGTTTGTTCAATTTGAATAGTCTTTTGAAAATATATGTTAATAATAAAGCTTTTAACAATGAAGTGTTTTAATGCAGGTATATGCTCGTATGTCAGAAGTCTTAGGAATAACAGATGACAACCACGTTCTAGAAACATTCGTGACAAAAATGTGAGTTCTTGTTTTGGTCTTTGATTTTTCTTTTGTTGTTGTTTTAAATGTAATAGATCTTTTTACTGTATTTAAATCTTTTTATATATTAGTTTTTTAAATAAAAGACCTAAAATTATGCTTTGTTAGAATATTAGCATTGTTCTTAACTGAAACTTAATTTCACATATTGAAAACTCACCATCCAAAGGACATTGTAATTTGTCAAGTTTCCATACAACTGGAGTGTGCAGCATCAGATGATGATTTTAAAAGATTTACAGACCTTGACTCTTCAGATCAATTGGGCAACATTTTTTTTTAATTTAAAAAGAAAAACACCTGTATATTTGATTTGAAAGACCACATGAAGAGATTATTGCAAATTGAAATCATTGAAAGAGGTCTAATAGGGCATTCATTAGTTCTAAGAGAAACCTATGTCTGGCAGAGTCATATTCATGGAAACTGTCCTTATGTTGAACTTATAATATTAGCAGAATAAACTAGTTTCTAGTCACAGACATAACTTTGTACCCATAGCCAAACTTGTATGCCTCCACCTGGCACCCCGCTTTATCTGTGTAACAGACAAACAACACTGTCTTGATTGCAGAGAACAAAGTTAGGTAAACAGTTATGGTCATAAGAAGTGAGTTTTGGAGCCACAGATTGATGGTTCATTATTTGGCAGTAATAGTGAGCCTCTATTTGGCTTTCTTTGTGACTCCTGCTTTTCCTCCCTATGTTTTGGATACAAACTTGATGTTTTCCGGTGAAACACTTAGACAACTTTTTAATTTACAAAACTAAATATATAGAATTATACACCATTTGGAGTGCAGTATTCATTGTAGATTGCATATAATTTTGAATATGCTATAGAAAGAATAGAAAATGTTTTTGAGCCTGTTTTTCACTTTCAAAATATTTGTGACTTAGGTCATCAAACTTACATAAATTTATGTATATTCTCTGATTCTCCCTAGACAAGCAAATAACTTACTTATAATTAAAGACTTTTTTTCATATTTAGTGTTACAAACCTTAAATACTGGGGAAGATGTGAGCCTGTAATTTCAAGGACTCTTCAGTTCCTAAATGACCTTTCTGTTGGATATCCTTTTCACTATATATCTGACATTATGTATAAACAACCTAGCAAATGCATTTAATTTACCAGGTATTTTTCTTGTTTATAATTTTTGCAATTTTTTTTAAATAAAAAGTTCTTTCATTTATTCTTATCTGTAAATGCATGTTTTTTGAAAGGTTTTAATTAGCTGTATACTATGAAGCATTTAGTCAGAATCACTGTTGAATTTATATGGACATATAGATTCCTAAGTAGTTACAGTTATATTTATACTCACCCAGGCTAATAAATGGTTATATAAGAAAGTATGCAACCACATATATTTTAGTTCAGGCTTTTTTGTATTTGTCAGAAATTCATGTCCTAAAAGAAAGTATGTAACTTAATTTTAAGGAGGTCAAAGTATTCTAAAAATATTACCTTAGAAAAACTGCATTCCTATGAGTAAATGTATCTGTAATATTCTTCAGTTGAAAAGAACATCATTTTCATTAGTTGAAAGGCACAGTAGAGTAATACAAAGAAAGTGATAAGCTTTTGACCATTTCTTTGATTATTGCCCCCACCAAATCAACATCTAATCTAATCTAAAATAAGATTTCCCATTATACATTAAATGTTTAGATTTCTCTGTCTGGCAGGTTTTTAAAATTCTAAAACCAAGAATCTTCTTCCTAAATTATAGTTGACAGTGTTGTCATATTTCTAAAAACTAGAAAGAATCATGTAGATTGTCTTTTCTATGTTAGCTATCAAATATATAGGACTTGTGAAAGATAAGTGTTGGATTAGTTAATCACTAAGATTAGCTGATCTTTTAATATGACAACAGATTCTGAAAATGGTGGCATTGGATAGAAACCTTTCATGCAGGTTCATTCCAGGAATATGTTTATGTTAGTTAAGTTTAAAATTGTATTCCTTGGTAAACCATAAAAGATTTCCAAAGTATTAGACACCCACTTTTGTGCTGGAATTTAATATGCAACTTTTTATTGGAAAATAATCGTCCTTGTCTGGCAAAATCCACCATGCAATATTTCTGTTAGTAGGTATAATGCAATAAAGACAGGGAGGGCTATTTATCACTACAAATTTTGAGGATTTCAGGATTCTTTTTATTATTTTAATATATTTCTTTGATATTAAATCAGAAAAATGATAAATTACACCTGTCCAGGCTGTTTTTCCTTTTTACTGGAAAGTGATGTACAACCCAATTCCAATGGTCATTTGGCTTTTTAAGATATGTATTTTTTCTTATTAAAAAAAAACTCAACCCATATTTTTTTCTAATAATAATGCTGAAATACTCTTTATTTCTAACATATGAAGTGGTTTATAAGTACTTCCTAGTATTGCAAACTCTGGCCTTTTCACAATGAATTACTTTGAGAGCATATTATCTGCAAAGAAGCCTCAGTTATTTTATAGCATATATCTATTATTTAGATTTACCCTATTTTTTAGGTTGAAATTGATATTTAGTATAAAATTAATTTGATTTGTATTCTTTTAGTTTAATTTGCATAATGCCTAATTTATTTGTGTCTGCTATTTAAGATCTTTTTTCTATCCTATTAAACCTGTTATATATTCTTTAATTCAAATAGTATAGCCTTTTATTTTACATGCCGTTTATTGCTTTTGAGTACTTCTTGAAGTAAATAAAAAATCATATTTTCAGAAAACTTACTAGATAAAAGTTTAAAAGCTATAATATTTTAAACCAGGGTATAGGAATGATTTCAACATGAGTACATTGATTTATATTTTTTAGCAATTATTTCAGGTTTGCATATTTAGAAATATATATTAGTTCAATTTGATTTCAGTGCTCAGTTATTTGAATTATAAATCATTATGTCCCTTCTAGCTGATCAGTCATGAAATATCTTTGAATTCATTTACATAATGGAATATGTGAGTGGTGTATCTGTTTTTAGTGCAGTTACTGGTTACCTAATGCATGTTTTGTTTTTCCAATCGATTTCTTTATTATAATGTGTTTTTCAATCTTGATTTTAAAGCAATATATTATTTCTGTATTGGGAATAAGATGACATTCTTCAGCAATAGAAACACTTATGCAAGATCAAAATCATCACCTATAGGCCCTTGTTAATGGAAATCTGTTTATATATTAATATTCAAAATATTTTTATTTAAAATATAGAAGTAAATGAAAAGCATGTTATCTCACTATGAGGTTTTTTAATGTTCTTTGTTTATAGTACATGTCTTCAGATACTTTTTGTTTTATTTTTTCTATTTTATCTGCTTCAGATGAACCTTACTCAGTGTTTATGGTGCTCAAAGCCAGTCTCTGAACTTTGGTGTTCTTTTATGTGACCACTTGTTAGAAATTGAAATCACAGAAGACCCCATTTTTAGGAAGTATTAAAAAGCCTTTGGTTGCCTTAAAGCAGTAGTCTCAGACTTTAGTGAGCATCAGAATGTGAGTGCTTTTTAAAACACAAAGTGTTAGGTCCCACTCCCCAGAGTTTCTCTTTCAGGAAATGTTAGGCCTGGGCCTGAGAATTGTCGTTTTCACAAGCCTCCGGTTAAGTTGGTGGCTCCAGGACCATACTTTGAGAACCTCTGCCTTTAGGTAGTTAGAAAATAGTGCTGCATTGTATGTCCTGAGCAGAAAAGTCTGGTACTTCTGTCACAGACACTTTTTCATAGGACTTCGTAAGACCCACTGGACTCACATTTTTAGAGATAGTCTAGTTCCTAAATAACGATGCGGGGCGTAAATCCCCGAATTGTAACTGGGTCCCGGATTGTAACTGGGTAGCTGTCACATTTTACCCCAAAATTGCTGTTTGCCAAATTTGAAACTTTTCAAATTGGTAAGACTATTGTTATTTTAAAATCCAGTGACCTTTTTGACAGAAAGTTTATGTTTTCCCATCAGATTCATTACATGGGTATTTATAATAAATTTAGCAAATACATTTGAGTAACTGTTTAACATACTCTTTTTATTTTCAAGACTAAAGTCCAAGAATTTCTGATTAAATAGCTTTTTTGAACAGGCACAGAACTGAAATGGCTCTGTACAGAGCCAGCCCTCTGTGTTCTGCGTTCACGTTCAGTACTTGGGGATCTTTCCCTTCTTTGAAATGTTTCCTGGTCAGAAATTTTAGTTTCTATCTAAATGGGAAAAGGGTGAGATTGTTCAAATGATTGGAACAAGGAAGCTTCTGGGAAAACTGGAGCGAGAATAAGGGTCATACAGAGCAATCAAGTAAACTTATTTTAAATGCTGAAAACAGAGAACAGTATCACATTTTATCCAAAATTCTGTTTGTTAATCATTATTTCAAGTTTTTGTTCTTTTGAAAGATAATTGATCAGTATTTCTTCTGCAATTTATTGTTTACTCAAATTTGTAGCAGTTAACATGCTCCACTTGGGTTTCAGAAAGGAAATTTCATTCTCTATCAGGCCCTCTGTTGGTAGTTGGCCTTTATTACATAATCATCAAACATGGGAAAACTAAAAATATCTAGAGTGTGTCTGTGTGTGTGTGTGTGTTTTGAGGTCCTTTTTGTAATATACTTTAAGTTCTGGGATACATGTGCGGAACATAGAGGTTTGTTACATAGGTATACCCATGCCGTGGTAGTTTGCTGCACCTATCAACCCATCATCTACATTAAGTATTTCTCCTAATGCTATCCCTCCCCTAGCCCCCCAACCCCCCAACAGGCCCCAGTGTGTGATGTTCCCCTCCCTGTGTCCATGTGTTCTCGTTCAACTCCCACTTACGAGTGAGAACATGTGGTGTTTGGTTTTCTGTTCCTGTGTTAGTTTGCTGACAATGATGGTTTCCTGTTTCATCCATGTCCCTGCAAAGAACATGAACTCATCCTTTTTTATGGCTGCATAGTATTCCATGGTGTATATGTGGCACATTTTCTTTATCCAGTCTGTCATTGATGGACATTTGGCTTGGTTCCAAGTCTTCACCATTGTGAATAATGCTGCAATAAACATACGTGTGCATGTGTCTTTATAGTAGAATGATTTATCATCCTTTGGGTATATACCCAGTAATGGGATTGCTGGGTCAAATGGTATAACTGGTCCTAGATCCTTGAGGAATTGCCACAAGTGGTTGAACTAATTTATGCTCCCACCAACAGTGTAAAAGCATTCCTATTTCTCCTCATCCTGTCCAGCGTCTGTTGTTTCCTGACTTTAATGATCAGTGATCATCAGAGTGAACAGGCAACCTAAAGAATGGGAGAAAATTTTTTTAATCTCTCCATCTGACAAAGGGCTAATATCCAGAATCTACAAGGAACTTAAACAAATTTACAAGAAAAAAACAACCCCATCAAAAAGTGGGCGATGGATATGAATAGACACTTCTCAAAAGAAGACATTTATCTAGCCAACAAACATGTGAAATAAAGCTCATCATCATTGGCCACTAGAGAAATGCAAATCAAAACTACAATGAGTACCAATATCTAGCTTTTTAAAATCAGACTCTATAAGAGACTTCCACATTAGTTTTCGAGTTTATCCAAACTTTTTTTTTTTTACCTTATTGATACTGTTAATGTCAACAGTTCTCAAGGTTAATGACTTCTCCATGTCATTGCAAGGCCAGCTACTTAATTTGCAGGGCCCACCTCAAAAAGAAGAATGTGGGGTTACTTGTTCAAAAAATATTGAGAATTTCAAGACCTCAACAGCAAAGCATTAAACCATGAAGAGGCTCTTCTAGGCACAGGGTCCCCTGTGCAAGTGTACAGCCCACATGCCTATGGAGCTGGCTCTGCTTTTGTTTGGTATAAAGAAATAATTCCTTCCATTTGGCCTCAGACTGACTCTCTAAGATTGTCTCCTTAAGTTCCTGTACACCTGAATTTGGTGAATGTAAATCCCATCCATATACATCATAAATCTATTTATCTACTAGTTTATTTCAGTCATTTTCATTTCTACAAGCCAAAGAATCTGTTTTCTTTCAAAGTCACTTGATGACCATGAAAATTTTATTT